GGTAGCCAGTATTTTCGCGCCCCAAGGAGATACGGAAAGTTTAACTATTCAGTTAGTAGATTTTTGCCTCAATGTATCATCCCCTTGGCAGTGGCGACGTGACTTTGGGGCCGTTTTCCGACATTTAGGAGGTAGATTCTCAAAAATTGATCGGGCTTTTCAGCTAGTCACAGTCAATGCGCATGGAGAACACTGCCTATGCAAAATATCAGCGTGCGAAAAAGTAGGACAGAATTCGGATATTTTTATATGAATTATCTGTGAATCATTTACAAGAAAGGTGACAGATCCTCTTGTGAAAACCACAGAGGAATTAGTTTAAACAACTTTGCCTCTCAACTTCTCACTGAAATCATACTCCATCGATTGTCTGCCGCATGTGAACGGTGCACGCGTGAGAACCAGGCTGGTTTTAGACCTGGCGGAGGTTGTATCGACCGCATCTTCACTCTTCGTCAAATTCTGGAGCACCAACATTCTTTTCGTAGACGCACCACCTCTGTTTTCCTCGAGTTTAAATTGGCTCTCGACTCAGTCGACCGCTCTAAACTCTGACGCTGCCTTTCCCTGAAGGGTGTGCCCGAGAAATTTATTTCAGTAATACGATCCCTTTATACTAATAACCGAAATCGAGTCCGAGCTTACAGACGTTTTCGCCCGAGTTCACCACGGAAGTGGTGTTCGATAGGGTTGCCCTGTCTCTCCTTTTCCATTTAACTTTGTTATAGATCTGATTATGGAAACAGCCCTATCCTCGTGCGAGGATGTGCGGTATCGATTTATTCCCAGGTGGCAAGCTGTTTGATCTAGAATATGTAGACAACATTGTGCTACTAAGTAAAGAAACAGGTAAGTTACAAGCCTTTCTGGATAGTTTAAGTGCTAGTGTAACTAGGTTCGGTATGCGTTTTGCACCTTCAAAGAGTGAAATGTTACTTCAAGACTGGGTTAGTCCTACAGCCAGCCTCACCCTAACTGGGGAAGTAATAGAGCAATTAGGCAAATTTCGCTATCTGGGCAGCACCCGGTGGACGCATCACGAATGAAGTGTCAGCTCGCACACAGAAGGCTCGATTGGCAATTGCCAACTTGAGACATCTTTGGCGCCGTCGCGACTGCTGGTTGTCTGTGAAGGGTCGAGTGTATGCTGCAGCAGTTCGGCCAGTCCTGCTCTACGGCGCAGAAACTTGGCCATTGGCGAGCGATGTTTGCCGAGGTAGATAGTGGGTGGAAAAAAATCAAGGATGGTCAAACTAAGACCTGGCATGAGGGTATGAAAACCCTAACCAGGGGACTGGGTCACGTTAGGCTCCCTGACTGGGGACCTCGGGATGATCGTAACCGATGGTCAGAGACACTGAGCGATATGCCTGAGTGTCGTAAACAGTGGCGTTCGTGCATCGGAATGTATTTTCAACCTTATTTCACTGAAATTATTCATGTTCCATTTGACTCCACGTTCAACTTTCCTGTCTTTCTCCTACCATTCATCCAAATGGGCAGCCAAAAGATAGCAACTAATACCGGCATTCGAAAGTGCATGGAAGGAAAACAGTGGTCACACGTTTCACAAGAAAAGTTGACCGTAAGGCCATGAGACTGATAAACAAACCGTTTTTAAGTTCAAATCTGCAGTCGCTTTTCAATCGTGCGGCAGTTGTGTCNNNTCGTTATCTCTTTTCTACCATTAGTATTTTGTTTTCTGCTCTTCTGAACTCACTTCAGCAGTCCCCTCTTTTCCTTTTATCGCCCAACTCCTTTTCAGATGAGCGGTCAATCTTGTCGGGGTTTCTACCCACAGTTGTCGGAATTCTGTATTCTGATCCTCTTTTCCTCAGAGCTGCAAAATGATGGAACACTTCCCATCTCTGTATCTCCAGCCATTTATCATATCACTTTTTTCAAAAGCAGGATCATTTATCTAGTTCTCACCTGAATGTCCCAACGCACACACCTTCCCTTTTGGAGCACGTGTTTGCTGGAAATCACTTGTGTGTAATGGAAAAAAATGATAATGCGAAATAAGGATTTGAAAAATTTCTATTGATACTTGGAAACCTTTGTGACAGTTATATGACTTTTGTACTACCAATGCCAAAGAGTACGCACGAAGGCTCAGGGTTAAAACTGTTATGAACAGTTTCACATTTAGAGAATGTGGTTATTGTGGCTGCGGTGGGAGATGAAAATGCTGACTGAGCACAGAATGCAAAAGGTTTTCCCTTGAGTGCCAAACTTACACTTTAAAAGTGACCTTTATTACCACCGTAGCTGTAAGTTGCCTTCTCGGTGGGCAATGTAAGAGGGTATTTTAAAAAAGCACCGAAAATGCCCTTGTCAGGACATCCGATACCCGATTATGTTGAATAATATTTCGCGGCTTTGGGAGTGGTTGAACCACACAGGGTATGGTGTGAGTTTGATGTGATTCGGACTGTTTATTATCTAGTATAAGGCGCTCAGACTGAATTTGTTTGGATGCTATGTGAGACATCCTCAAGTTATCTCTGTGGTTTGGCGAATGCATTTCGAGTACAGTCTTTTTGATTTTTTCTACCAAAGCTGATTTGAAATTGTACTCTTGAGTCAAATACTGCAGTTGTGATGGAGCTGGTCAAAAGTTTGGTCCCACTTTTTGGCTCCAGGCAAACAAAACATGTGTGGCAAAAACGGCACTCTTTGGATGCACGTATAGTCCGTCCAAGAAGAAAGTCCAACACTCCGATTCATATTCGTACACTTCGGGTTTTTCTGATAGGTCTTTACTCAGTGACTGGATTGAGGATAAGACAGTCGTGAACGCCCGTTCCAAATGCTTCCATCGTTTGGTGCTATACGTTGAGGCGTGACAACGATCAAAACGTTCCGGCCGGAGGATACCATTCAGAGAACGCGAGATTAATAAATTGTAATGGAATCTCGATAAAAAGCAGTTAAATATGTTAAGTCGGACGAACTAGACAAACCTAGACGCTAGTCTGTACCAATCCTAAATTGCCAGTGTGACAGCTGAAACAAAAAATTTAAAAAAACAATAACAGTGCAACAAAGATTGCATACAATTTATAAGCCGACATAATTTTCACAATATTCTTCTTCTGAACCATAAACTTGCTTATTGATTTCTTACCGATGAGGCCGTCTTGTAAAGTGGCTTTATTTTAAGGACTATTGCACACACAATGGAACCAGTGTCTGCAGATCAATAAATCCGAATATGCCTGTTCTTACTCTAAATAAAGATGAACTAATTTCCCCCACCATCAAGCGATCGGTGGAGCTCACCACATCCTGAACACGATTGCCATCGCTGTCCTGGGTTCAATGTATTCTAAACCGCACTGATCTGCCGACGGTAATACGCAGTGCTATGTCGCCCGTCTGTCTATGCATCAAATTATCGAAAACATTTTTGCACTATAAATCAACCTCTCAAATATTACATTACTTCATATAATGATAATTATTATTTTTACTTTGCCAGATGAAAGACAAGAGAAGACCGCAACGTGGTTTCAAGGGACAGCAACGCTCACATCGTAGTATTGAAGAGATAAGAGAGGACTTCAAACCACCGGATTCGGGTATGATAAAAAAAATCCTCCACAATTGCATTACTTCATCTCTCTTTTGTCGTAGATGAGGCTACGACGAGTCACATTATCACAGCCATGTGGGATTTTGAACAGTGCGATCCTCGGCGTTGTTCCGGTCGCAAACTGGTTCGATTCGGTCTAACACGATTGTTACGGATGAATGAAAGTTTCGGTGGCATTGTGCTCACTCCCACCGGAACGTGTGTTCTATCCCCGGAAACAGATCGAGAAATCATGGCCTCCGGAGGTCTGGCCGTGGTCGATTGTTCGTGGGCCCAGTTGGAAAGCACAGCCTTCCGTCGAGTAAGTATTGGACACTGTCTNCTGATCAGTATGCTTAGTTACCTTTTACTTGTACGTCGCCTTTGCGATTACGGGTTCCCTCGTTTCTGCTGTTCGTGAAATCATGGTATAATAAAAAGAATCGAGTCAATGAATTCCAGTGAAACCGTTCAGATTTTGAAAAGGGATGCGTTACTAACCTGTGCTCCGAGATACTGGATGTTCAAAATCTTGTCATTGGATCAAAACGCTGTTTCCTCGCGTCGACCGCATGATCCGAAAGTGTTCGTTTTAATAACTCTCATTCCAATTCCGAAATTTTGAAAATTTGAACTTCTCTGTCACGNCACGTGGCTCATCCGTTGAATGGTTTCCAAGGTTGTGCCATCGTTTCCCCAATTGAATAATGGCTGATGACTGTTTCAGAGACTGGACACTGGCATGTGTTTGAACTTCAGCCCCGATAACTCATCTCGATGCTAAAGAGTCAGTCCTGTTATCGTCCACTACACTTTGATTTAGGAAACTCACACGGTTTTTTAAACTGCATAGTGTAATCTCATGGCACAGAGTTTCAGTTATTCCGACAGCAATTTATTCACGATAAGGTCTGCATATAGAAGGCAAGGGATGTGTCTGACTGAATAAGGGTTGCGGACTTGTGATCTCGATAACACTACTAAATGTAGTTTTAAAATCACTTGTCAATTTGATTAAGTCAAAACCTATTTAAGAAGGCTGTTATCACTTTAGTGGGATATATCTGACGCAAAGGAAAAAACGGTGTTGGTGAACTTGTCAAACCGTTTGCTACCAAGTAGAGTTTCTAAAAGTTGAGGTAAATGTCCACAGTTTAAGGTTGATGACCACCACGTTTTCAACCTTCTTCCTGTGTGTCCCCCCCCC